TGTCATAGAAAATTTAGCAAAATTGCATTCTACTAATGTTTTAGAACATAATTACCCAAAATGTTTTGATATTTGAAGCAGATATGGCAAAGGGAACACACCACCACGGCACCACATACTCAGATTAGAATGCAGCCCCACTTTTTTAAATGAAAAGGAATAACAAGATATAATGTATATATCAAGCTTTTTCTTCTTTTCTTTTTTTTTTTTTGAATCTAATAACACGTACCTCTACAAGGTTTTTATAATAGAAATAATCGTAGAAGTAATTCATAAGTCGATCCTAACCTTATCATGTCAAATAATATCCTAAATAGATCCTACATTAAACTAGCTTTTTACAATGAAAATTGGTATTTTATTTCTCCCTCTCTTCTCCAATCTCTATTTATATTTAATTTCTCTTCTTTAATTTTGCCTTCTCATGTTTGAATAGTAAATGAATGAATTTACCAAATTCACTTGACTAACACGATTCAAATTTATAAATATACAAAGGAACAGAGCTCCCTTGGGGCCATGCCCCCACAGTTCAATTGTCGGTGGTGTTTAGATTAACTTATGCGTATTTCGACTAATTCTATTCTCGTTTTAGTTAAAAATAGATTATCGATGCCGAAATTAGGATATTCTTCAGTAATAAATCTCTATGACCTGGCCTCAAGGCAACCCACTCTACACCATTTTTAGATTTTAAAATTTTTGATGCCTCCCTCTAGGGTTGTCCATGGGCCGGGTTGAGCTAGGCCCGTGAATTTTTTTTTGGGACGGGTCTGGGTAGTGTAGGCTTAAGTCCTTACCCAAGTGAGTTATCGGACGGACTGGACTGGACTTCGGGTATAGGTAGGCTACCCACAGCCTAACCCGCCAGCCTATTGGGTGGGCCTATTTGAGAGTTTTTTTATATATAATTTCATTTTAAAATAATGAATATTTTTGTGACTTAATATTTGTGTAAATTATATTTTTAAATCAAAAATAGAGTCAAAATAGATAAAAAAAAAATAATAAAATAATGAATAATTTTATTTTTAATTAAAGGATGAACTACATTCAATAGAATGAATACATTCTAACTAAATTGACACCTACTCACTTATCTATCATTGCATTATTCTATCCTTTAAAACTTGTATGCTTTATGAAAAAAAAATAATACATTATTTATAATATATATTTCTAAAATTTCAAATTTCGATATTGGGAGACTTATTTCAAAGTTTCAAATTTTATAATTTAAAAATATAACTTTTTTTTAAATGAAGGGTGGGCGGGCTCTTGGGCCGAGTTTTAACAGGCTTTTTTGGGCGGGCTATTGGGCCGGGCTTCGGGCTTGGGGGTAAACCCAAACCATATTTTCAAGAATATATTGGGCTAGGGTTCAGGTGGGCCAATTATCTGACCTATCAGATTTTGAACCATTTTTTGGGCCGAGTAACTGGACCCGTGGATAACCCGGCTCATGGATACCCCTACCTCCCTCTGAGATTTTCAAAAGCTATATTTTCATCTATTGTATTAGTAGGCTTAATGACCTAACTATAGGATGTAAGGATAATGTTTAAATTTTATAATCCAACTAAGTTTTTTCGGTGTAGGATTAAAGATCAAGTCCAGGATATGAGTCAAATCGACCCTTTTAGCCGCGGTTGGGCACTCAATACTGTGCACAACCAAGCTCAGACCATTAATCTATGGACTGCGCTCCTGAGTTAGTAAACCTCCTATGTCGGACCCAATTGTTGTACAAGAGACCTATGAATGTCGGTTGGTGGATCCCTTTAGTAGATCCTCTAATTTATTCCCAGTAGTCGATGTATCTTTGCCACTATTCCTGGATATATCATGTTGAAGTTGATTTTGGATAAATTTTATGTAAGTATAAATTTAACAATAACAATGACTTGTTGAATAACATTCCAAATTTTGTCATTATTTGCCCCGTAGAAAATCTTGACTCTGTTCCTAAATATACATGATAATAATAGACAAAGTTTAATAGGATTTTTTGCATTTTGCACCCCAAAAAAATCTCTCGATTCTCACTTTATACCTTGAAAAGATTATTTTTTCCACATTGCACATTGAATATCATAAATTGGTTTCAATGTGGCATTCGGATTAACATACGTTTCAGATTCTATTAAAAATTAATACAATTGCCACCCATATGTGATGTTTTTGGATAAAAATGTAAACTCACATCCATATCCTTGGGTGACATGTGCATTAATTTTTAACGGAATTTGAAATAGAAGTTAGTTCGAGGGCCACATTGGAACCAATTTATGACATTCAGGGTGTAATGTGGGAAAAATAAATTTTTGGGATATAAAGTAAGAATCGAGATATCTTTCATGGTGCAAAATGCGAAAATCCCATTTTAATATGACACAAACTCTAATTTTCACTAAAAGAAATTGCATTAATATTTCTCTCTATCTATAGAGAGTGCTGGCTCAACGACAACCATCTTCATCCAATGGGGGAGGGAATTGGGATCCAATGAAGTTCAGTGTAAGTTGGTTGATTTCTACCTGGCTAGATGATAAATTCCAAGGCTTACATTACTATATTCACCTACATTAACCTTTGGATTTTTTTGTTACATTTGCGACGGTCATTCAAATAGTCATACATAACGTGTTTGCAGCAAACGGATCTAAGTTATAATAATAGGTTGAGGACTACCAAATATTCAATTGATTTTAAGTTATATATTATAACATGTATTAGAGATAGGTGTTGCCATGGGGCGGATTTGCAATGTGGGCAGCGGTCCACACTGCAATTTTAACAACTTTTGGTGCCTAGGTAGAATTTTGAAAAGTTTCAGAAGTGTTTAAAGATTGCCCCATTGAAAATTTATAAAACATATAGGGTTATTTCCACAATTTAGAAAATAAATGGAGTCCTTAACAAATGTATGTAGACAAGATGTAGTTGTTTTTTTCCCCAAACCATTGTTGCCTATTAAATGTTTGTTAAAATGCCACAAACAAAGCCATGACAAAATGAGCAAGTAACTATGAGTATCCGTGAGTCCTAAAGAAATTATGAAACACTTGAAAATTCAAACATGGTTGCTTGATCAATATACATTGATCTTACAAGTTGTTTGTTAAAAATTCAAGGATAAAACATTGAATTTGAGTTGAATTAGAGCCCCACTGTGAAACAATCTTGGCTCCGCCCCCTGGGTGTTGCAAAGTTGGTGAGTCAAGTCTCTCAACCAATTGATCGAATTTCCGGATTGTTTGTCTAAATGTCTCAATTTAGCTGCAATCAATTTGCTTATTGTTTCAATTCAGTTTGTTAACCTACATGTACGGAAGTTTGTATGACATGTGGGAGGATGTGTAGAACAATTAATTATTCAATTATCGTAGTTTTGAAACTTATTTATGAAATGTGATAGTTTAAAACTTATTTACTAAATTATCATTTTTTTTTTCAAAAAAAAGTATTTTCAAAATAATGATAATTTTACAAACAAATGTAGAACTCTAATATTTAAGTAAATAAAATTAACCCAGCTTGCAACAAACCATTATTGACTAGGCTTTCATTAAAAAAAAAGGCTTTAGACATGTATTATAATTATAATTATAATGCTTTCTAGGTAGTTGTTCATCAGTATTATCAACTCAAAAATACAATAAATTTATTTATATGTGGAATATATAATTAGTTATCCAATATTAAAAATGTATATTTATTTCATAATAGTCTTCAAACGTACATATTTTTTTTTAAGATAGATGCTAGTGCAAATAGAAAAAAAATTCATATGTGAATTAAATTTTAAATAATATTAAACAACATTTTTGTTGAGTTGAATTGAGAATAAAACAAATAATGATACTCTTCTTCATAGTCGCTTTTCATATCGAATTTGGTCTTCATATTTCTGTTATTTACTATTCTCATAAGTGCATCTATATTTTTTCAATGTATATTTTTAAACCATCTATCATTTTAATCATTAATTAGTTCTATTCCTTCCATTACACTAGTTTTTTTTATTTATAATTTCATCTTTTCATATTTCTGGTAGAATTATTTTTGCAAAATAGTAATCATGTATTTTGATGAAAGTTTTTTTCTTACTCAAACAAAAATACTTAAAAAATGTTATCAAACTATACATAAGTTAAATCCTTGTTAGATTTTATACAGGTTAGTGGAATTATTGTCATCATTAGACCAAGAGCTTCTGGGGGTGAGAAGAAACCTAAAGGTAGATACTGAATCCATCATTCAACTTGTTTATTCTTATTGTTATGAATAGTTATTCTTATTCATAACTATCAGTATGGTAGGTACCATAGAAAATCCCGCTAGCTTAAGACAACTTTTAGAGGTTCCACTTTTAAGCTTTCAATGATAAATCTCAACTACCAATATTTTGCACAACTAATGTACCATGTTGTAATTTTTTTTCTTGAGAATATTTTTAATAAAATTAAATTTGTCAAAAAAAAAGAGCATATTTATAATTATGCAAAAATAATCTATATGCATCTTAGTATATGGATGGTATAATTGTGTACGCAAAAGTCAATAATGCAACGCATGCTAAAATTTATACCAAATTTCCTATATCAAATTAATGTGTGTTGTTGGATTAACGGGTCTAGTAACTTCAATAAACATTCAATAATTGAGATATTGTCACATTATTCCGTGTACAAATTTAGTGTAGACAACATTTTCTTGAAAGTGTATTTTATTCAGAGGTTAGCATACCTCTCTCGAGAGGGAAAAAAAAGACAAATGAAATTTTAGGGTGACAAAATTTTATCCCAGGTCATTTACTTTTTTATCGTAGGGTGAAAAAATTTGTCATATTTACTATTGCAGTTCTATTCAAATTTTAGATTATAAATAGATAAATAAAAGCCGTCTATATATAATCTTGTTATCTATTTATATGTAATCATTTGTTTTTCTTTTGTCCTTGTTATTTCTGTTATAACCTCATTTTTTTTCTCCAGAAGAAGATGATGAAGAGATTCCTGAAGAACTAGCAGTTTGCAAATTTTGCTTCAACAAATTTGTCGAAGAAAACGTTCTCAAGACAAAATGCAATTGCAAAACTGGTCTTGCCCATGACAAATGTGCATCTCACCACTTCAATGAGCTAGGAAATAACATGTGTGAAGTCTGCGACCAAGAGGTTGAAACAACACCAGTAACTTTGCTTCGACGCCCATTCTCTCCGGAGAAAGAGAAGCCAAAAAACAAGAAACATTGCTTCGGATTACGAATGAAAAGGTAATGTATTAATCTTTATCGATGAAAAATACAAAGATGGGGTAAAAAGGATGGTGGTGATGATCCAGTTTAGTTCCTGCTACTCTTTAGTGTTGGGAGGAAAAAGAGTACGTACCTCACTTTAGCATAGTTCCTATGATATAATTACACTTAAAATTTAATCCATTATTAGTCACACACTCAAAGTCGAGCGAAAGTGTAATATATAATTTACAAGTTTCGATTATTAGATATAGTTAAAGAGTCAGGAAGGTTACTCATTTTGGTCCTTATAATTGAGGATGTCAGGGTGAACTACATATAGAACTAATTTGCAAAAAATATTTGCACAAAATGGTGTCTGGGACACAACCATGTGATTGTTACCCCCAACACTTGGCACTCCCAAGCGGCAATGACCCATTCAATCACAAGCATGATTGTTTTAATTTGACTCGGAGTTATAGTACTCTATAGTGGTCTAGAAATGATTTTTTTTAAAAAATACTTGTACATGATGGTTATTCCAAGTTACAAGTCTATGATTGTAGGCCTGCACTTTTATTACTCCAAGAGGCAATGAGAAATACAACCATAAGTATAATTTCTTATAGAAGATGATGTTGATGAAATAACTAGTTTATTGGATTAAAGATATCCTTAAACACTACATAACTCACTCATTATTTTTGAACTCTTGGTTTTGTTGGGATTGAAGTGACGTAATAGCGGGATCCTCATACACTGAATCACCCTTTTAATTAAAAGCAATGCTATGCATACCAAAAGTGTTCACCAAAATGTGTACTAAATCATCTATAGCCATCAGATCAGTAGGTCTCATCATTGATCCAACAACGATTGCAGATAATTTGGTGCACATAGTTTTATCGTTTAATTACTTCCTTATATTCTTTCTTGGATAATTCAGTTGCATTATATTTTGATAATTATTATTATTTTCTCTGCAGGCCGGTTCGTTAATGTTCTTCTTGTAATTCCAAGTTATATGCTTTATCCTTGGAGCAGCTGCTGATGTGCCACAATAAGAAAGAGGTGAGTAGAATGGAGAGCTTACAATGGAGTGGAGGTAGAACTTGAACTAAGACATAATAAGTAGATTTGCTGTGGTTTTGTTGTTGGTTTTTTCGATATTTTCGTTGTATTAATTATTGTGACCTTACAAGGGAGCACTATAACTAAAAACATAAGTTGATATGCTGTCGTTTTTTATGTTATTTTTGTTGTACTAAGTTTTGTTTAATCTCCATTTAATTTTCTCAAAGATTGTGTGATGCAACCATTAGTGGTACTATTAGTCAATAAATTTCATTGTCATCTGTTGGTGAGCACAAAAAAATTTCCGACCCAAAATAAAATACTGGGATAATGTGATGCTAATAACCCTAATTGGTGGTATAATCTGAAAAAAAAAAAATTATAGTTGAGGGGATAGTGTGAAATTAATAATCATAATTGTGAGTACAATATAAGAAATACAATAATTGAGGGGGCAATATGAAAAAGGAGACATTATTAGTGAGGTCAAAATATAATTTCACCAAAGGTAAATCACACTCACAATTAGGAGTGTCCATGGTTTGGCCGGGGAAATTTTTTCGGGTTGGAACTGGGTAGGGGAGGTCCAAGTCCTTATCCGGGAGAGTTATTGGGAGGGCTAGGTCGGACTTCTGATAGGTGTAGGTTATCCACAGCCTAACCCGCCACTCACTAGGAGAGCTAGTTGGCATGGGCCTATTGGATGGTGGGCCTAATGGACGAGCTTTTTATATACTGCTTTATGTAAAAATAACAATTGTAATTTAATATTTTTATAAAGTATATTTTTGAGTTAAAAGTAGAATCAAAATTGCCCAAAAGTAAATAATGAATAATTTTATTTATAAATAGGGGAGGAACTACATCACAATAGAATAAACAAATCTCAATTAGGTTGACATGTACACACCTATTTGTCTTTTTCAAGTTTCAAATTTCAAATTTGATGTGTATAACTTTGTTTTTAGAGGAAAGTGGGCTTGTTGTTCGAGCAGAGTTGGGCAGGCTGGGCTGGGCAGGGCAGGTGGGTTCTTGGGGCAAGGTTTTAAATGGCTTTTTGCGTGTGGCCTATTGGGTTGGATTTTGGGCCGGCTAATTAGTTTGGGGTAGGCCATAGCCCTCTCTTGAAGGATATTGAACTCAAGTTGGGGCCAACTGTCGGACTTATCAAATTATACTTTGATACCCCTAGCCATAATTCATTTCTTACATTGTCCTTTTAGTTACCATGCTTCTCACATCATATATTCAATTATGTTATGGGTTTCCCATTACTCTAATTATTTTCACGAAAAATTATTTAATTTTCTCCCTTAAGCAATGTGTTTTATTTGACTTTGCACTAGACATGTTGATAATTTCTGTCCAAAAGAAAATGGACATTTGTATTTGGTGTAGTGGAAAATCAACTAAAGTAGTTGAGAGGCTATGTAAAAATATAATAGTTCAAGGGGCACAATAAAATTGAGTCCATACGTATAAGGGGTCAAAGTGTAATTTTTTCAATTATAGTCTTTTGGACTTGATTTAGTCGTAGGATATCTCTGCTCCTGAATTGGGGAAGATTCCTGATCCGTGGCTTTTTCACTTGTACACTGCGAAAAGCCCACAAGTTTCTTAATATTATTTAGTTTAAATTTGATTCTTTTCAATACTTAAATTTTTCGTTTGAATCATTGAATGGTACCAACAACTCACATCTATTTGGTGCACACAACATTTCTCCTCAATTAAAATGTCATACCAAAAACTGCTTTTATTTCCTTTCCTAGTGATTCAACTATATATATACCAAATGAGAAGCGGAAAGACATTTAATCAGTGTCAAAAGATTGAATTGTACTTACTAAAATATAATTGTAAATTACAAAAACTGAAAATAACTTACAACTAGTTTACTGAAAGAAAATCTCTTGCTGCATCTTATGAAAGTTGGATACAAGGAGAGATCAAAGAGAAGAGAGTAAAATTGGCTTTGAATCCCAAAGGGGTTCTACCTTGCTAAGGATGACTGAAGTTTTTATATAGGTGTAATGATTTTTGGAGAGGATCTTTGAAATGATTTCTCTTTTGACTTCTAGTGCTGCTTTAACCTATTTAACTTGCTTTTATTTGGGTGATATGTTTTTCACTTTTGCTTTTCAGTGAAAAATTTGAAGTGAATCTCTTTTACTCTGGTGAATGCTGACTTTCAGGACGTGCACATGATAGTTGTGCACTTGATGTCGATTGAAAATCTGCTTTTAGTGGAAAAGTTGATTGAGTGATTAACTAGTGGCTGCTTTTTCTGGCGGAAAGTAGCTCTGTTGCTGGATGATTCGACGTGCACATGACGGTTGTGCCCTTGATGTCAACTAAAAATCTGCTTTCGATGGAGAAGTTGATTGAGTGATTAACTAGTGGCTGTAAAAGATAGCTTTTCTTTCTTTTCGTGAAGAAAGTAGTGATTGAAATTTTAACACATAGTGATGGGAATCATGGACTGGAAAGATCATAAGCATCATTGGGGTTTTGGGCATCCTGGAAGGGATCCATAGATGGGTTGATTGATGCTTGTAATGATGCAAAAGAACTGATATT